GGGGGGGGGGGGGGGGTAGGGTTTGGCAGGTTGGTTCAGAGAATTTTGCATTTTGCTCTTGAAAGTCTCTTTGATGTTAGTTTGGATATGTTTGAATAAATAGTTCATGAATTTGGTCATGTAAAATGAATATCTTCTTACTTGGTATGTTGGGTTTCTTCTGCATTATTTACTGTATCAAGTGAGATAGAAACTTTCTTCCCTTTTACGAGTATAGAGCTTTGGATTCCTAATTCATTCTCTCATTCAGTTATAAGTTCCATTTGTCGGTGAGATTTCTATTTTTGAATAATGTCACCATAACACTACTCTTTTGTACTTCAGGAAACTGGAATCCCCAAAGGCACAGCCAAGACCAAATATTGATGTTAAAGACAGTACTCCAAAGAAGCAAAAGCAATGCAATTGTAAACACTCACGATGCCTGAAGTTGTGAGTAAATACCTCTCTGGATGCACTTTTAGTATGGTGAAACACTTCATCAAAGAGCTAGTATATTGATTTACATTTGTTGTGGCCTAAATTTCGTAAATAAATTTTCACTCACAACATAAGGCCACTGCTTGATGAAATAATAAAAGCTTGAGCTGTCAAGCATAAGAATGCAGGTTTGATTTTTGGGGAAATGATTTTGTTTGAATAATAGAAAGCTAGGTTTTGCCCAATCTACCCCTGTCTGGACAAGTGTCGGTGGCTGGCTCTTGGCGTAGGTTTGTTTATGTTTACCTATTTCACTTGACGAGTTGATTTCTCCTTGAGATTGATTCTGTATACTCTACACAGAGACGCTGCAATTTGGGTATATCTGGTCAGGATTACAACCATGTGCTCCAACCCTCAAGGTTGAACAAGATGCCTGAACTCTAAAACAAACACCAACCACAAGGGTTGAACATGGTGTTTGGACAACATGTCTGAGACCTAATTCATCACCATCTTCAATTCTGGTTGATCAAGGATGGGACAGTTACTTGAACAGCCACTTTTTTGTGTGTTTTATGTTTTTAGTTGCATGATCGTATCCTAGTGGCTAAACTAACTTCATAACAATCTAAGCAAAGTTAAATTGTTAATTGAAGGGAACTTGAAACCCTATTTGATTGCAATGGGATAGTAATGTAGTACTGGAAATTTTTTATTCCTTTTGGTATTATGACTGCATGTCTTAATAATAATTTATGGCAAGGTCTTAGGAAATGAAGAATAATTGGATATATGCTCATCTTATTTATGTAAGCACAATTTTGATTGTAAGAACATGATAACATGTGTGCTTTCATTGGCAGGATTCGTTTTAGTTTGGCTGTCAGAGACTTAAAACCAAGCAGAACTGTCATGGCCCGGGTCAACATTTATTTTTTCACTCTGACCATCTTTCATGACTCCTGACCTAAGTTGGTCTCCTACTCGCTAGGGTTAGTTCAGGTGGCACTTGTTAAAGAATAATTCCCTCTCATTCTGGTTACTTAAGCAGTAATAAGGAAGAAAGAATCCATACTTAGCTTAGACAATTGCTTTTCATTCTGTGTTTTATGCATCGGTGACATCCTTGTAACCTTGCGATAGTATACACCTTCTAGTACTTGTGTAACAAGTACCTTTCCTTCAGGGAGTACTTAATTATGATTACATGATTGTAGACTCCATTATTTGTAGACTACATGATTGATACTGCGCTTACCATTTTAGTCGAAATCATGCCTACACATGTGCTTTTGAATGAATTGGTAGCAGCTGGAATAGGCACTTTCTTGGTGTATGAGCCCATCTTTGGGTTGGCTTAGGCATCAGACAAGCAGCTGGATGGAGATAATGAGGAGATCAGGCTAATGAAATAAAATTCCTAGATATTTATTACTGGAGTAGCTGAAAGAACTTATACTATTTAATACTCCTACAGCTTTTAACGGACTCTGCAACTGTGAAGTTGACTTCCTCTCCATGTCTATGTCAGTATGAGTGTGTGTTGAATTGCTACTGTTTTGTGATGTAGGTGATGAATGCTATAATTATTAAAATTGGAATTGATATTGTTTTGTGATGTAGGTGATGAATGTTACAATTATTACCATTGCAATGATGTCTCTTGACTTATAGTGTAGGTTTTACTTGAGATTTGTGTAGAGTAAGCTAGTCTTTGTTGCTTTTGCCGGATGCAATGTCAGGAATATGAAAATAGGTTGATTATATAGATGGTAGTACTGAACCCTTTTAACTTCATGCAACACTAATACCTTCCATTTTAGCCTTGTTCATTATGTAACAGATTCTTAGGGAATAAAATATTTCATTGCTTTCCTAATTTACTTGTAATTGGAGAACAGGAAACTGATTTGGCCTCTTTATGAACAGTATGCAACTTATAAGCTCTTACAAAATCTCAATAATATTGCTAAGCTAATTCTGTCAATGTGTTGTCAGGTATTGTGAGTGCTTTTCATCTGGAGTGTACTGCGATGGCTGTAACTGTGTAACTTGTCATAATAATGTTGAAAATGAGGCTGCCAGGAGAGAAGCTGTTGAAGCTACCTTAGAGCGTAATCCAAATGCATTCAGGCCAAAAATTGCAAGTAGCCCACATGGAACTCGTGATCGTAGGGTATGTGTGACTGTTAAACTTTTTGAAGATGCATTTGTAAGTTTTCAAATATTAGTGAGATTACCTTCCTTTTTAGCATCAAAGTTGATTCTACAATGTAATTGTCAGTTATTTCGACATTTGATATAATTGATGCCATCTTTGAGGGCCTTGCTTAACATCTATATCTATACTACTTATAATGTTAGCATCTGCGAATTTTTTTTGATTTTTTATTTAATCCCTAATTATTATAATAAAATTCATTATATTTATACCCACATATGTACTTTCATATATTTTTGTTTTTCATTCCTATTTGACTTTCAACTTGTTTAGGACTCTTTTATAAAGACTTCTAAATTCTTTTGAACTTATTTATTAGTAGTACAATTGCATATAATTTTCTATATCTATATGAAGAAGTAAAGTCTTATATATGTTAAATTATTATAAATACCTAAAGGGTCGTAGAGATACTTAAATAAATAACAAATTGGGTACTAAAAAACTTATAGAATAAATTGATAATTAAATTTAGAAATAATTAAAATACAGATTAATTATTCAACACTTAATTAAATTAAATAAAAATAATATTATTTAAATTTTTTTACGTGTAACGCACGTCGTGCATTGCTAGTCTTTATAAATGTTAGAGCTTCTACTTTAGGATTAACTAACACTAACCGGGATTGATTTGTGCTTTAACTAAAAAATTAGAATGCATGGATTCAGGATTTGCTAAAGCGGAGTCCAGACTCCATATGTGTCGTTTTTTATGCTGGAGAGATTATGAGTTCTTTGGCCACCCTGCTAGGGTTGGAAGAAGTTGAAGAAGATAAGGGATTTTTTTCTTTTCTTAAAGATTATAAGGGCATGTTTGTCCTTTTGCACTGAAACTTGACATTTGGCTCACTTTTCACATGCTAAATCTCGAACTAGGTGAATGTGGGTCACAATTTCCGGCAATTCAGATGTAATTTGAAATGGTAGCAGATGAGGGCTATGTATTTATTTTTGAACCATAGGGGTTGAAGTGCTACAAGAACAAATGGGGTCAAATAAAATCTGCCCTTCGAATGTTTTTTATAAAGGAAAATGTTTCTGGCTAAGGTTGTATCTAAAGTTGTTCTCACCTGGTCTATTAAATTGGACCCTTTCTTTGCGATATGACTTTATGTTATTTGTGTATTAAGATATTCTATGGTTTTTGGTTCTTTTGACAATAATACATTTGTTTGAAATTACATGTAGGAGGAGGCAGGGGAAGTCATGTTGGGAAAGCATAACAAGGGATGCCATTGCAAGAAATCAGGATGCCTCAAAAAGTATTGCGAATGCTTCCAAGCCAACATTCTTTGCTCTGAAAACTGTAAATGTGTGGACTGCAAGAATTTCGAAGGAAGCGAAGAGAGACAGGCTCTCTTCCATGGAGATCACACCAATAAAATGGTATACATCCAGCAGGCAGCCAATGCTGCCATCACAGGTGCTATTGGATCCTCTGGTTACGGTTCGCCTCCAATAAGCAAGAAAAGAAAAGTTCCAGAGATCTTCTTTGGGTCGACAGCAAGAGATCCATCCTTCCACAGGCTTTCTCAATACCAACAGGTTAGCTTTGGTTTTGGCACCATTAAATCAAGCATGTTTTTGAATTGGCTACTAGGTGAAAAAGCAGTAATTCATAGTTAAATTGACTAGTACTCTTTGATGTTTATTAAGCCGAGATTAGCTGTTTATGTGCTTTGACATGGTCACATGGGTGAAGAACTAGTGTTTGGCTGTTAAAATTCAGCTATGCTTTGGTATTTTGTTAGGTGTGTGGTAAAACTTATTTATCTTGTTTTAGACTTGCTATTTTTTATTTTTTTTTTGTGGTCAGCATCTGTAAACTCAATTTAAATTTAGCTTTGACTTCACAACTCCTGCTGGTATTTGAAGAGTGTCTTTTCTACGTTTAACAGACAAATCATATGAAGGCTTTTGCAACTTTGTCTTCAATTCCAGGGTCTCGTGTTGGCAATACTGCCGCATTTGGTCCTTCAAAATTTACATATAGGTACAGTTATTGCCCTTGTGGCCTTGTGACAATTTTGTTTCAAGCACTTGTTTAAAAACTAACTAGTGTAGCATGGTTAAAGGTCTCTCTTGGCAGATATTATCCAACCACAGGACTTGAAGGAGCTTTGCTCAGTTTTGGTGGTCTATGCAGGAGAAGCTGCCAAGATGCTCGCAGGTACTAGATGGATTTGCGTATGGAGATATCCAAGTTACGGGCTTATAAGTAGTTGTGGTACCCAATTATCAATGCACCTTTGGTTACTGTTTGTATTATTAAACGGCTTCTCTTAGTTCCATATTCTAATACATTCAGAAGAAAGAAATGCAGCGGAAAAGCAGGCTGAAGATCATAGAGAAACCTCTTCTGCTTCATCAACACAAGACCGGTTACAAAGTCTGAAGGAATCTGATGTTGAGAAAGCTGTGGTGGATGATTGTTCAAGTCGGAACCCAGCTGAGAAAATGGCTCCTGATGAGTCCAGTACAGATGGAATTGATTTGTCGAAAGGAAGGCCAATGTCTCCAGGCACACTAGCATTAATGTGTGATGAACAAGATCCAATATTTATCACTTCTGTTTCCCCTAATGGGTTAATTTGCCATGGCTCTTCTCTGTTGCCGCATGCACAAGGCATGACTGAGGCCTATACAGGACAAGAAAGAGTCCTCTTGACAGAGCTTCTACATTGTCTAAAAAGGCTCATCACTTTAGGAGAAATAAAAGGCAAGTCTCTCTCTCTCTCTCTCTCTACTGTACAATTTTGCAGATTTTATTTGAAATTATGAGCATAAATAGTTTGGGCCAAGTTTTCTTGAACTCATGAAACCACAATTCGGGAGCACAAAACTCAAGATCAGATTTGTCAAAAGAAAGCCCAAAAAGCACGAGTTATTTGAATACATTGTTAATGAATGTGGGATGCTTCCTCTCCTACTGGAATATCTACTCCACTCAATGCTATCACCCTGATAAATTTGACACCAAGGCAGAGTGAAAAAAGGGTCCCTTCATAATTTACGCGTACAAGCCTTCAACTTTGGTCACGTGACCGGCAGCCTTTAACATGATGTCACATGCTTCTTCTGATGTTGCCTGGTTCAAACATTCTGATTGCCAACACCTGAAGCCATTGCACCATAATAAGGCAAAATAGGCTACAACTCTAGATGAAAGATTCTTAATGCTAAAAACTGAAGCCATTGCTTCATCGTAATGGAACAGGTTACATTATTGCATTATATGCATTTTTCATCAACATATATAGTTTTTTTTTTCGTCACAAAATCTCGCTCATGTCAATTTGGGTTTTGTTCTGAATGCTCTCCTTGTGAGAGTTGCTCACTTTATATAGACATTGTCGGGCTAATTACAAGGCTGAAAATCAGTCATTACAGCAGACTATGCAAGGTAAGAATAAACGCCTATCAATTATATGCCTATATACAATATACTCTTCTATATATAGCTAGACTAAATAAGGTAGCATATATGCTGCCTTAATAGACTAGGCCAGCACATATCCAACTGTCAATTCTGCTAACTGCTCATCCACTCAATATTACAGAGACAAAGTGTTCTTCACTAGCACTATCGGAATCAGGAGGTCAAAAAGACCCGGTCAGTAACTGCACTGCAAATGCCAGAACAGAAACAAGGAATCTACAGGACACTTAAAGCAACGGTGTGGCAAACTCTGCCATTCCACATCCCCTCAAGACATCTCAGATGGTCACAGACTCACAGTAGCTGCTGGTAATGACAATGCCCTTGCCAAACTTTCATTCCCTGCTGAAAATGGGGATCTAAAACAATAGGCTGAGAAAGCATTGTAACAAAATTTAGGACAAGGTTCGGCTGAAGGTATGCTACTGCATCTCTGCAATATGAGGACATTGTCCATTGTCCATTATGCTTTTCTTTGATGCAGCTGCAAGGTTATACCTGGGTCTCATTGTTAGAACTGACCAGAGTCTGATCCATTTCTTACCTAATTCATTAATACTAGGTAAACCAATTTTTGGTTTACAGTTACAGTGTATAAATGCAACGCAAGTCATGTAGATTCTCAAGATGAAATCTATCTACATTGCCAAGGAACACAGCAATTTTATTGATTTTATTACTTGGAATCTCTTGGAAGAGAAGTTTTTTTTGGAGTATTCATAATGTTAAGTTCTAATTTGGACTCTTCTCTCTCAAAAAATAGTTTAGGCTGTCGACAGTTCCATACAAAAGTAACCATTTGGACTTTATTGCTCCGATATTGGGGGTAACGGTTACATCATATTATCATGTTGACATGGTGTAACAATCTAATGATAGGATAATAAATGGTTAAGTAAATCTCATATAATTAAATAACTATCTATTTATGCCATTCAATAATTACCTGTGTCAGATCTACATGTTCATTTGTTATCCAATTTGCATTCGAGTTCTTTTTGGCCTATAGAATTTTTTTTTTTTTTGGAACAGGTGACCTATAGAATAATCAAATAGTGGTTTCGTGGATCAGCCGTTAAGCTGATGCCCTTCCCTTTTTGTCTTACTTAGAAGACATTTGTACTTCTTACAACACGTGGACAAATCTTCTTGGACACATGCAATCTTTTTGTATGAGATGAGTTAGTAGACATTTCCACCTCTTAGAACACTTTGAGACTACTTGTCTGAGATGCTTTAGACTGCCATCAGGATAAGTTCCTGAGGATATTTTCAAGAGTCATTAAATGACTTCTGATCTGGGATTTTTTTTTCTTTTTGTGATCTTGGGGGATTCAATCTGAAGCAAAATTTCCTCCACTGAACTCTCTTAATTTACTCAATCCTTCACCGTGAATTCAAGTGAGATTCACAAATAATAAGTAAATTTCTCACCTACACACGATTAGTGAATTACCCATTGAATGAGAATCCGGATCTAATTCAATCCTGCAACAGGAGGAAAGCTTGAGCCTCTCAAGACTTTCAACTCTGCAAAATGAACTCTTAACC